CCCCCCCCCCCCCCCCCCCCCCCCCCCCGCCGTGGCAGGAAAGAGTACTGGGGTCAAATGATGCAGCCTTAATCTGAAGACATCAGTTTTCAGACAGTGTTGACTGAGACATAGGCAGGTACGCAAAAATAACCTAGTACGTAGAGGGCATAGCACTGGGTGGCCGGCTAGGTAGCCGTATGCTTTGTGCTCCTGTACTTGTGCCTCAGCAGATCTGCAAACAATTGTAGTGATCACTGGGCCTCAGCATCTCTCTTGTCTTTATTGGTTTTGGGCAGACACTTACCTTTAAATCAATGTGTTGCCTTTTTTAGATATATATTCCCAGGAAACCTGTTGACTTATGCCATGGTTTGCTGCTTCTCTTGGGAGCCTAGCCTTGCTGTGCCTCAGAGGGGGCTGCAGCATGTACTTCTTAGACACAAACCTCAGCGCCAAAACAGTGTAGAGAAGCCTGTTTCAGTGCATATGGCCCATCAGCACCTGAACTTGCAGTTGTTGTCCCTGTACTCCTGCCTGCCATAGAGCAGCCCAGGCTTGCTGTCTCGCCTACTGGCCCTGGACGAGCTTTGAGAAAGCTTGTGTGCCCGGTTTATTCTCAGTTAGCGACATCCAGTCCCTTACTGTGTTTACTCAAGAGTGAGGTCATTTTCATTCAGTCCTCCAAGGGTGTGTGTGTGTGTGTGTGAATGAGTTTTAATCATAAAACTCTCTCACAAACTTCCTTCCACCAAAAAAAAAAAAAAAAAGGCTGTGTTGGGGGAGGAGGGAAAAACCATACATGCCTCTGGTTAAAATATAAGTGCTTTTCTTAGAGTTTGTGAAGCACATCTGGCTGCTCCCAAGCCATCTTTTAGCCAGAGATGGCTGCAGCATGGAGTCCAGTTATATTCCAGTAAATGTCCAGAAGTACAGTGTGCATGTGTAACAGAAAAGATCCCTCCTGCAAATTCAGTCCTTTGCATGTTCCAGTGATAGGTGTGGCACTCCACTTCCACAGTCCCAGACCACCTTAAGAGGGAGGTTTGCTATACTCCTACTTTCCCCATCTCTGCCTGCCCAGTCCTCCTCTGGCACTGATTTAAAAAAATGAAAGCCTCCCAAGCATTGAAAATGTAATAGCTCTAAGAGCCCAAGTCTTCCAAACTGAACCCTTTGAATTTCTGTTCATCTTTTTTCCCCCCTTACATGGCTATTTTCTGTTTTATATCTAAACAGTTTTCAGCTGAACCAGTGGTTCTGCAGAGCTCACAGTTGTTGCTGAATAGTTTAAACAGATAAGTTCAGCACTGGGCTGTTAGGAGTTGTGGACTAAGGAGTCTTCTAGGCTAGGGACAGACATTATGCATAAACCAGTTTAAGTGATCAGAAACTCGTTTAAACCTGTAACAGAACAGACATTCAATGCACATAAACCAGTTTGAAAATATCCGAAACTGGTTTGAGATGAACCTGGTTGAATGTAGTATCAGACTTAACTGATTTGGCTCAAACCAGTTTATGAGGGGTCTGTCCCAGATCCCTTGCTGGTTTAAGTTAAACCAGACCCGCCCAGCATCCCAGCATGCTCTCTGGGCTGGGCAGAGCTCTGCTCCAGTGACCTGGGCTGGCCCCTCCCCTCTGCTTTCTAGCCACAGCAGGGGCAGGGTATGGCCAGATGCTGGCCTGCCATGGTCCCTGAGGCAAATTCTTCCTTCCCCTCTCTCCCACCCCTTCTGCTGACAAACCCTGGGGACCGCAGCTGGCGTCTGCCAGCCCCAGCCTCACCTCCATGGCTTGACTGCAGCCAGGCAGGGACAGAGTTAATTCCTTCCTCTGTTCCCTCTCTCCCCCAAACCCCCAGGGGTTTGGCTGCAGTCTCTGAGGCTTGCCTGCAGCCAGGCAGGGAGGGGATTAATTCTACAGTGTGTCCCAGAGCAGGGTGAAGAGGGTGGAGGAGAGAGGCAACCTAGTTCCCTGTGTGTAGATCTAAGCCCTTGCACCTGTGAGCCCAGAGCTAAGACCTGCAGGGCCAGGCTGAGACGTGGGAAGTGTTGGGAAAGACCTGACAATCATCACACGTGCTGGAGATGTAGTTAAGGGAAGTTGCAAACAGCTTCACGAAAGAATGAAGATAGCTACATTTACACTATAAAGCGGAACATGTAAAAGGTGGGAATACCTAAACAAAGCCTTTCTGAATGCCTGGCTGTAAGCAGACACTCTGCCCTCAGGATTAGTAAGACTAATTCTTGTCTTACTGGTTTACATTTTAAGTTAAATTAAGTTGTGTATGCTGTGTTTTACGGGGCTGTATCTTAGCTTAGGCGAAGATTTTTGGTAGTTCCTTTTGGTAGTTTCTACCAAGAATTTGGTAGTTTTTGTTGTATGCTTTGCAAATTGCTGTGTTCAATACATGCTCGCTTTAGAGAAAGGACTTTTTCCCGATTCTCACTCCTCAGTCTGGCAGCAGCTGCCCCTGTGTTGTGCTAGCCTGGGCTGGTGCCTGGTAATGCCCCCTCCACTCCAGCAGGGGGGTGGTGAGAGCCTTGGAGGGCATCTCTCTTCCCTCTCCTTTGGCAGTGGCTGGCAGGCATGCTCTAGCACGCCCCAGCTTCTGGCTTGAGCCACTGCAGGAATGTGGCTGCATTTCCCATTTTAACAGAGAATGTCCAGTTATTAATCACTTTAAGCTGTGCCACTTAGACTAACCTGTAAAGAGTGAATCAATTCAGGCTTGGGCTTTTTGAACGTCTGTCCCTAGCCCTAGAGAAGGGGTGGCCAACCTGTGCCATGGCCAGGCTCTGTGATGTCATGTGGCAGGCTGGGTAGGGGGCAGGCAGCACAGGATTCCATGGGGCAAGAAGCAGAAAGCAGAGCAGTAGATTTAGCAGGAAGCACAGGGCAGGGAGCAGAAACAAAAGATGGGGCTAGGGAAGGGGTTCAGAGTGGCACTCAGAGAGGGCATGAGGCTTAATCAGTGGCATCTCTGGTAAGAAGATTGGCCCCCCGCTGCTCTAGAGTTTGAGGGCTGGACCTGACTAGTTGATCAGGCATCACAGATGAGGCAGAAAATGGCCTTAATGTAATAGTAGCTGGAGATTTTTCTGCACTAGCAGAATCTCCACATGATATAATGACTGTGTAGCAAGCTCTGTGTCCCCTGCTCCAACTCTTCCTGGCATAAGAGCTGCGTCACAGGGTCAGGAGCCATGCCATGGTGCGTCAGAAGTGAGAGGATATGTAAGCAGATCACTTTGCACCCCAGCAACTGCCGTCTGGTATATGGTCCCCGAAGGACTGACCACTCTTGCCAGTGAGCTTAGGGAAGAACTTGTGTCCCCAGATGGGGGAGTAAAACATTAGCTTAGGGTCACCTAGTATCTCTTCTTGCATACTGCACCAAGCACACTTTGGCCAGGCCCACAAATCTGGCTTTGGTATTTCTTACCCAGGAACTGGACTGGACTCCTTAACAGATATAGGAGATGAGAAAAATGTGAGAGATGTGAGTGTATTCCATTGATTGAGTCTCTCCTAGCTTAAATGAAATGAATAGCATTTGGTTGGGGTGTGTGTGCGCACATGCGTGTGTAATGCTCCTTATACATCACATATCCCATAGAACTTTACAAAGCAAAACTAAAAGAAATACATAGTTTGGACATGGAAGAAGAGAAAGGTGGTTTGAAAGTCTTGGCAACAGCACTTTATAGTTATATGAGTTTTCATCCTGAAGAATCTTCGTAATTTTAAACACATTTACATCCATAGTGCCAGTGAAATGTAACCACCTCTGAGGTGGAAGGTAGCAAGAATACTGCTGGCATGAGACTATTCCTATAAAATATGGAGAAGTTTTTACCCTTATTTATTAAAGCTCTGGAAGAGAGCACTCTGAACGTCTAAAAAGACAGCACTTTGGCTTCCTTAAAGGTCTCTCATGCATCTCATGAGGATGGCAATGTGGAGACAATGGAGCTGAATGCTCCCAAGAGGCTGGGAAGAGAAACGTTTATGGCAAGATGGGTGGAAACTACAGGAGTCACTGGAAGCACACATGCCGTGTATGTGATTCATAAAGAAATAGTAATTTTACACAGGCCTGGAACTGTGCAAATACTCCACGGTGCAAGTATATGAGAGACCAGACCTATATGCCGATGTGAGGAAAATGAAGTCAGCGGCAGGAATGCATTATTGACCTTTAAACCCTTGCAAGCAGTGACTGAATTTGTCCAAGGGCTGTAATCTTTCCATGACCTGATATTGCTGAAATAGTATTTTGACATGCTCCCCAATGAATGAATAATGGAACCAAAGAAAACCGTATTTCTTTCTTGTCTCAATAAAAAAAAAAAGGTTACCTATAGCACCAACAATATATTGTACCTCCCCGTCAAAGGATCACTTTAACAATTTAACTCCTGTTCAGTCTACAGGCAGAGACCCCTTCATCCACAACTGAAATGCAGCTGCCACCAGAATGATGTTCATCACTGTATGACAGTGCACAGCAGTCAGAGATAGCAGGGGAGGACTGGAAGTAATGAATAGTTCTGCACCCAATGGAGACTGCAGGGAGGTATCAGGTAAGCAGAACACAGTGACCTCGGTTTGGGTCCTGGAATTAATTTGTCGCAGATTGTTTCGAGGCCCTTTTCAAGCGTCCTGTGAAGACCACTTCTAGTGGCACAAGAGTTTCTCTCCTATTGTGATATTAGGAACATAGCACTGGAAGGGGCCTTCTGCGTCATTAATCCACTGCATTCACAAGCAAAGTATTGTTTCTTTAATGACCTGAGATGGCCTGATGAGAGAATTTGTACCTGAATAGCTTCTAGCTTTGGTGAAGTTCAAATCTAAATCGTGCAAGTCGAGCCCACTTCTAGTACTGACTTGGAGCACAGAAAGGCTCTTCTTGAAGCAGCCCTAGGACATAACCTCTGTGATCAAACTGGAAGAGCCTTAGCAGTTTGCTGGAGCAGCATACTAACACAGCCTTAAAAATCTGAAAGGCCCTTATCTCTGAAGATGGAAGTGAATACTAGAAACTGCAAACTTCAAGACAAACGGGGACCTGTACCTGAAGAGTCTCTCTGCGTGCCTGTACACATTCTGGGAGGCTGCTCCGACACTGTTATTGCTGCATATCGGAGCATGATTATTAGTGCACTCCAGCCAGCCTCCGTGTCTCTTGTATCAGCGCCCCCGAGCTTCAAAATGGCGGATGCGCTTTAGCTAAAGCTCATTAGGTGAGCTTTAGATAAAGCACCTCTGCTACCATTTTGAAGCATGGGAATGCTGATACACGAGATGCTCCAGGTGCCCCCCCATCCCTGCAGCACGTGTGAAAATGCCCTCTCTGCTTTAGTGGCTTGGCAAGGGATTCATCTCTTTGCTGTCTGCTGGAGAGGCTTTCTAGGGACTACACTACATCTGGTTCTTGTGTTGACCCTAGTAAGAGATAGGGGAGGAAAGAAATGAAAAGAATCTAGTCACAGGTGGGGACTCTGCTAACCGATTAAGTCTGTCTAATGTTTCGCTTAGACGTGGTAACAATGGTACCATGCCTGCTCTCTATGACAGGGGAGGCTGCATAAACACATAAAACACACATGTTCAGTATAGATTTAGCAATTGCTTTCAGAAAGAAATTAACTAATTTTGTTAAACAATCTATCACTGAAGAACTCCTTTTTTTTTTTGGCCGAATCTTTCCACTGGGGAGCTTGCACGTCCCACAGGAATGCACTGTGCTTTTGCTACATAAGGGAAAGGGAAGGCTACCCAAAGACACGAGCACATTCTGGGCAAAACATACAGATAAAATACATTCCACACTGAGGAATCTGGGCCTCGGCTCTTGCTCCAAAAGATGACTTAACTTGCAAAGAAGCACAGCTGTGACACACCGCCTGGGAAAACTGGTTCCTCACAATCCCACTACTGTGCCGAAATTTCTAGGCTGCAGTAAATGCAAAGATATAATAGATTTATGCCTGACTGCAGAGCCTGGATGTAGGCTGTGAGGATCTTCCTATACGTCTTTCTCCTGGTTGCTAACACCTTTTGCAACCTGGCTGTGTGTAGTTCGGCTGTTCAGGACAGACTGAAATGCTGTCTCTCTGGCTGTTGTCCCCCCCCCATGACTTCATTCCTATCTTACTCTTTCATAAATGTGAGGTGCTGCATGTACTGCCTATCAGTGTATATACAGAGCCACCTTCTTTGTTTCAAATGCTGAGCCATTGGCTGGTGCGCAGCCATGGGGAGAGGAGTGAACCTGGCACAGACTGCCTGTCTTTCCCTGACGGGAAAAGCAGCTGATGGGTAAGACCAGCCTCCCCGAGAGAAAGGGGCAGTAAGATACAGGTAGCCCTAGGTCCACAAGGGAAGTAAGAGCCGAGTCAAGAGCACATTTCTGATTTGCTTACTGTGTTGGTCGCTTCGGTCCCTTGTGCCATCTACCTTGCCATCTGGAAGTATCCTCAAGAAGTGGCCCCCATTGCTGCAGTACAGGAGTTTGGGTTTCTTGTAATTCCCCAAGGGAAGGTTGAATTTTTCCGTCAGAGCGGTGAAAGTTGTTATTTTCCCTTCAGCCATCTCTCAGCCTCTCCTGGCGGCAGGACTTCAGGGCTGTAAGAAATTCAGCAGGCTTATAGCAGTAATAGCAACAAAGTGTGCAGCACGCTTATTGTAGTCACACTTTTTGAAAGGGGAAAGGAAGGAACCAGGACCTGCCTGGAGGATCCACTGAGGTGGCCTATATCACAGGTAATTGTTTTGCCACGGGTTCCCAAGGTGATTCATACAGCGACTGATGTTTAAGGCAGTGACACATTCTTGAAGGTAGGGCTTTAAGTGCTGATATTCCCGAAGAGGGAGGGGGCTTTGGTCAGTTCCTCACTTTCCCATTGGCTGTAGCCAGGCTCATCGAGACATTTCTTTTTTTTTGTTTATATTTATCATATTAAATGTTTTTGTTCCTTTTTCTATTGACACACATGCTAAAATTACACCCTCCAAAAAAACACAGCAAAAACACACAATGTCTGATCTCAACCCACAAGAGGCAGGAAGCTCAGTAACTTGTACTCCGCCCAGGGCTTACCCTGACTAGATATTGCAACATGTTGTACGCTCGATAGCACATACTGCGTCATGCCTCTGCTGTGATAACCCACAGGAGTGGTTCAAAACGGAACAAAAACCAGGTATATCAAGGGATTGCTCAGGAGATCAGTAGTGTTTTCATTTGCTGGCATTTATTTGGGTATAGCTCAGATTGGCGGCAGCTGCAAGGTACACCTGTTTGGTCTCTGGTATATGCACTGAGATGGTGGGGTGAGTCTAATTAATGCTGGACTCATGTGTCTATCACACACAGCAGTTGGCACCCATGTTGTCAGGCTCATCAGAGCCAAGTCTTCAAGTGGAACAAATGTGTGGCTTTACTTCAGTTCAGACTCTGGCCCTGCATGGACCTTGAGAGTGAGCTATCTTTCGACCTCTAACAGTGATTCTGACCTCTTCTAATTTCTAATAGGAGTGAGGCAGGATGTGGGTTCCCCACAGGCCCAGCTGTTCCCCGTGCGATACCTGTTCTGCAGCACAGCCTTTGGTCAATAAAGCTGATAAGCTGACATTGTTCGTAGGCAGCTCTGAATGTACATGTTCTGGGAATATTATTCTTCATGGCACACATGCATAGAAAGGCCTGTATAAGCTTTCATGAAAAGTTAGTATCTAAATTTAGGCATACTTAGTCCTGTAAAAATGGGATTTAAGCTACCTGGCTTAGCAGCCAGGCTTTGTAGTGAGTGAAAGGGCTGATTTTATCTGTGTGCAGTGGTGAGACCGCTGCTGGAAGACAGCTTGCAGTTCCGGTGCCTTATATCAAAAGGGAGGTTGAAAAATTGGGGATGGCAGAAAAAAGAACTGTACAAATGATTCAAAGACTGGTGACTGCACCTTGCAGTAAGAGCTTTACACAGTTCCATCTATTTATATCTTATCACAAAGAAGATTGAGTCATGCCTCGATTTAAAATGTATAAAGGCATTCGAAGGGAGGAAATGCTGGGGACTAACAGGCTTGCTAACCCAGCAGAGAAAGGCATAACAAGAACCAATGGCCGGACGCTGAAGCCAGATGAATTCAAATTGGAAAGCAGAGGCAAATTTACCAGTGAGTGTGATTTCACCAGTGAAACAAGGTAAAAAGGAAACAGTGGATTCTTGATGGCTCTGGATGGCTCCCAATCCAAATCAGATGCACTTTTGGCAGAACTGCTTTAGCCAAATCCAAGTTATTGGGCTCAGTAAGGGGCAGTGGGTGATGCTGATGGCCTGTGGTAGGCAGGAGGTCAGACTCAAGAATCGAATGGTTCTCCTGACTTTAAACGCTGTGAGCAACTTTCAGCATCTTTTACTGTCTAAGATCCTTGGGAGCACTGAGACCAAATGTAAGGTTGAAAACAAAAAGCATTTTGAAGCCTGCAAGAACTGGACATTACACAACCCTTTGAAGCAGAAATGCTGGTAAGAGCCCTAAGTTTGCAGTAATGGGCATTAGATTAGCACATGCCACACCTGTAAATTTTAATCAGAAGTTGAAGAAACTTTATTGACTATGTAGTGTGTAGGCTTGCTGTTCTGTTTTTATTGCTTGACCACTCTGTCCGGGAAAACTTGCAGTGAGAGACAGGTCCATCTGCCTCTAATTTTCTCAGCACTAAATTTTTCCAATGTATATTGCATACTCAATGGCAGCTTGATGTGCAGACAGAAATATATTAGCATTAGCAATTAGCCAACTTTAGAAAGTTTTGTGGACTGATATGCATAGTGACCCAAGAGTTTCTATATTTACTCCAAGCTTTTGCAAACTTACCTGATTTTTTCTGGTATAAAAGCTAATTCTGAAGTCTCATGAAACCAAGTTATCATTCATATACTGGACTCCTTATATTTACTGTTTATACAGAAGTCGAGTTATAGACAAAATAAAGACAAAAGTATTGTAAATTCAGACATAGGAATACTTAATTATTTTCTGTTTTAACTATATTATAAACCTCATCCTCTTAGCAACAAGTTGTACATTATAAAAGAGATACAGCTGTACTATATGTGGCAGGATGTGCGGGGGACTAGACTGAGACATTAAATTACTAATATTCAAAGCAAACTGGAAAGTTATTGTGCATAGTTTTAGCTGTGTATTGTTTTATGTGTTGAAGCAAAAATCATGTGGTGAAAGTTTATAGGCTGTATGGTGCAGGAGGTCAGAACAAAGTATTATACTAGTTCCCCCTAACCTTGAAATCTCTCAATTTGTAAATGCCTGTAAAGGAATTAAGGGCTGGCTTGCCAGGCTGGGTGGTTTAGAAGTGAGTGTGTAGAAAGCTTCTTGGGTGACTGTGAATTGCATAGTTGCTGGTTGGTTTTCCTCATTCAACTATATGATGCTCAGCTATTGACATGAAAAGAGGCCAATAAATTAACATGAATCTGAACCTCAACCCAGAGTGTTTCTTCACTGAGCTCTGAGAGAAACCCAATATTTGAAACATCTGGTTTCTGCTGCATTTCACTACTCTTGCCCAACAAGAACAGTGCAAACAGGCACTGCTTGAAGGGATGGATGGGATACAATGTGAATGAACCACAGCTTAAAGCCAGAAGTTCAGTATACTAAATTGCCTGGTGGGTCACTTAGTACAGAATTAGGCTTTTGGCCCTGTGGCAGCCGCTGAGCTGTGAAGGGAGCTGCTGAGATTTTTAGGGATCCGAGTTTAGCTAAAAAAATGTTTAAAGGAAGGTTGAATCTGGCCTGTGAATGCAAACCTTTTTAAACTATAGTCCTTGAAGCTTAGGAGCATGCAAGGTCCCTCACGTTATGAGTAGAGATGGTGCTCACTCGAGCACCTGGGTCTGGGCACCTAAAAACTTGAGAAGTCTGGCTTTGATCCAGACTTTCCCACTGGCCACCCACCAGGCCAATGCGCACACACGAGGTTATGGAAAAGTTGGATCTGAATCTTCCAGCTCTGACCAGTCCCTAGTAACAAGCGGTTTACCAACCCTTCCTGTTACTTCTAAAATAACAGGCAAAGAATATGGGACATATGGCAAATGAGTGATACTCCTTTCATTTTCCCTTTCAAAATCAGTATGGAATTCACTGAAAAATAAATTGCTTTTTTGCTCGCTTCACAAAAATAATGCTGTTTAAGGGTCCAGAGCAATTGGCTGGTTCAGCGGATTGCTAAGCGATAAAAGCCCCTTTTACTTCTTGATACAAACCAGATTTCTGGTTCACATCCAGACCAGACTAGTTGTAGCTTTTTTTTGTAGTCCGGCAGCTTTATTTGGTGGCTTATATGAAAAAAATTAGTGGCCTCTGTCCAGTTCAGACTAAACAGATGTCCTCAATGCTAAAGCACCACCACTCCTGATAACTAATGGGCTTTTGTTTCCAGTATAAGCGGGGCAGCCAACGTTTGTTTGAACCCTAGGGACTACACATCCCTTCTGCTTCTTGAGGGGGTCTCTGTAGCTCAGGGCATGTTACTGGAAAGCAGTGCGGGAGCTCACAACTGCACGGCACAATCTAAACCTGTTCTGTGGTTAAACAAGGGGCTTTGTTCACCAGGGTTTTAACTTGACTTCTTCACCAGAGATGAGCTGGATCCCTGAACCTGAACCTCCTTTGTGAATCCGAGTTTCTCCTGACCGGTTAGACCTTTCTCTAAATGAGCTTTAAATGGGACCTTAGATTTGGCAAGGATTGGTACCTGGATCCAGGTGTCGTGATTTCAATCTAACTTTACAGAAACGCTTAGAGTGCAACAAAAAGTAGTAGTGAGATATGACCAAACTTTTTGCTTTCAGAGCCTTTTCCTTCATTCCTTTTTTTTTTTTTCAGCCTCTGAATCTATTTTTCCATCTTCTTCCAGAGGCTTTTTAGGTGGAATTTGGAGAAAAGTATTAAGGAGTATTCCTTATGCTCTTCTCATAAAAAGCTCCGTAATAATTTTTCATAGTCATCTCATGGAACAACACCCATGTCTGTTCCCAGTGCACTACTCAATCATTAGAAAAACACTGACATAATTACATTTAGACTTTCTCTTTGGCTCATGTGTTTGAGCTCTGGGAAGTCAAACATGGACTTGCCTCAGCCATTCCTCCGGGATATCAATATTTAATACAGGAGAATCATAGAATTAGATGGCTTTCGTTGTACAAATCCAGTAGTAATAATATTCTAATGTTGCAACAAGAGAATACAGCTGGGGATAATGAAGTGGGCAATGTGAATCCAGTGAAATGAGAGGATCAGCTGAAGAAGCAAATTCCTATATCTGTTTTGGTGGGGATGATTGTGCAAATTTAGGGCTTCTTTCCTGCGACACTTTTCCAACCTTGCCTATCACAGCTCTGCCTCAGCTCCTTGTAGCGGTGACATCCTGGTTTGGAGCAGGGGCACAGCTATGATCTGCAGCCATCCCGCCTGGAGTGTGCTGATCCAAGGTTATTTTCAAGTTTCCCCATCTCTCCGTTAGCCCCACCTGCCTCTGGTCAGGAATGGACGTGGCTGAGGTAGTTCAAGGAGAGACGTGGAATGTCTTA